AAAGGGGGGGCCTCGACCCCTGCAACCTCAGTAGGTGAGAAAAACTAGGTGGGGTAAACACACACACACACACACACACCCCACACACCCACAACACACACACAACACACACACACACCACACACACACACACGCAAAAAAAATCTCATGCACAAACATTTTTAGAAAACACTCCCAAGAGGGGTTGAGGATAAACCCAGCAAGACTGGCCCTTTTGAAATTCATCTTGGGGAATTGGGGCTTCAAAAATATCAGGGTATAAAAGGCTAAAAAACCCAAAAAAAAAAATGAGGGTCTATGGGGACAAAAAATGAAAGGAGGCAGAGGAAGGTTTTTTTCCCAAAGGGACAACAGAAATAATAAAAAAAACCAAAAAACAGTCCTTGGTTCACCCAAAACTTTAGGGAGGTAAAAACAAAGGGGCATGAAGAATGGAAAACGTACAAAAGACAAAGGACCCGGGAAAAATTTAAAAGAGTTTAAACCCAAAAGAGCCAGAAACAAATATGCACAGATAAAAAAGGGGAAAGGCTCACCCGGAAAAAAAAAAAATGATATAATATCGAAAGTCAATTTAACCCAAGGGCGTTGTATACCCACATCAGGGGGAAAAAAACCCAGTCAAGGACCAGGAAAACAGGCTGAGGGGGAAAGGGTTTCACAAATAGGAACCAAAAATATGGAGGAGCACAAAAAGGGAAGTTTTAAAAAGAAGTATTTACAGTGGAGCAGGAAGGATTTCCAGAAGCCCAAAATTAGGGGGGTTCCCCAAACCCGGGCCCCCCAAAACCCCCAAGTGTTGGAGGGAAAAACACAAAAACCGGGTTTACTTTGGAGAAACCCCCAATGTAAAACTTGATGCCTCAACGGTGGTGGGACCCACTTTCTCTCCGTGGGCCCTTTAGAAAGGGAGCAAGATGTTGTGTGTGCCACTAAAAAAAATCTTCAACACATCTATTGAAACTGGGCAACTCCCTTTGAGGAATGGAAGATACCCAAATGTATTTCCCAAATTTTTTAAAAAAGGGAAACCCAGCCCACAAGGCTTTAAAACCTCCCGGGGCTTTAAACAAAAGGGCTTTAAAACTACTGGCCCTGCCAGGACCCTTTTGCTCCTGGGGGGGCCGGAGCTATGGTTTGATCCCTCCCAACCACAAATAGGTGAGTACAAATAGGTAAGTACACACACACACAAACACTTTCAAACACACACCAACCCACAAACACACACACACACGCACACACACACACCCCCAAAACACACACACACACACACACCCCACACAAAACACACACAAAACACCACAAAAAACCCATACACAAACACCCCTTCCACACACACACACAAAAGAAACGGGCCTAGTGTCTAAACGACATGTGAAAAAGGGAAACCAAAAGGGTTTAGCTAACACACACACACACCACACAAAAACCCCACACCAAAACACACCCCAACACACCACACACACACACACCCCTTTAAGGCCCATTTTGGAGTATGCGGCACCCAAACCTACCCAAAGCATGTAAAGAAACTAGAGAAATTTGAAAGGGGGTTTTGCAACAAGACTAGTCCCAATTTAAAGAGGTATGCCCTATGAGGAGGGGTTTTAAGGAAAAATCAACCTGACGAAAATGGGGGGACAGGAGAGATGGGGGGGGACTTGATAACGATTTACAAAATACTGAAGGAATTGACAAGGTGGAAAAAGACAGAATTTTCCCAGAGACGGAAAAAGCAACAGGGGGGGAACGGGGTGGCGGAAGACACAGATGAATCAAAGGGATGTTGGGAATTTTTTTCTTCGCCACAGATTTAGTCAGGAAGGGGAATATTTTGGGAAAAGGGGTAGTGGGGGCAGGATCCATACTAGCCCTTTAAAGAGGTACGTTTAAAAGCTCATGGTTCAGGGAGAGGGGACCTAAGTAGCGCCCAAAGGGAAGGGGGCGGGGCCAGGGTTTTGGACTCGACCCCGCAACCTCACTAGGGAGTCCAACTGGTGAGAACACACAACCCCAAACAGAAAACCACCCCGATAAAACGGGCCTAGTGCCAAATTTCGACATTTTCCTAGGACAAAAGGGAAAACAAAACCACACCCCCACACACACACATAAATTATATTTGTTATTTTCGTCCCCGAATGGGCAGAACTTGCGATCTTGGCTTAAAATAGCAACGTTCATTTTTGCCATAAAAACAAGCTAAAATTTGTGTTACATTTTTTCGCAAAAATTCACCCAAAACCCTAACGAAAAAATATTTTTCCCTTTGTTTTGTTTAGTTTTAAAATTTTACGGGTAAAGTATTTAAAATATTTTTAGTGGGGTTTAAAGGCAAAAATTTTAAAATTTTTCATTTTAAAATTTAAGGGGTTAGGTAAGTTTTTTAAGTTTCTTTTATTGAAAAATTTAAAAGTTTTTACATTAACTTTAAATGAAAAAAATATATTTTAAAACTTTATAGAAAATTTTTCCAAAAAGGGACTTAATTTTAAAA